CCGTGCCCAGGCCGCCTGGACGTCGGCGTGGAACACGTCAGCGACTGCGAGCGCCTGGCCAGGCAGTGCCGGCTGTGGGACCTGCTCGGCGACCTGGAGGCCAAGTGTGAGTCTGTGCGTCAGTCCGGGCTTCGGCCAGGGATGGGTGGGGCATCCCCGGCTCCCTGAAGCCGCACTCTCCCCTCCACAGTGGCTTCCAAGCCAGGCCCGTGTGTGAAGGTGCTGACTGTCGAGCCCCCCCCAGCAGACCCCCGGCTGCGGGAGGACCTGGCCCTGCTGGCTGACTGCGCCCTGCCCCCCGAGCTCCGGGTATGCGCCCTGCCAGACAGGGGCCATGGGCAGGGGCGTTTGTGGGGTAAACCTACAGCCTGTTGCTTCCCGCTTCTGAGCCGCTTGCCTGCGTCTAAATCTCCGTGTGGGGCAGCGGCCGCCGTCCCTTCTCCCGCTTGTGCTGATGGCACCTCCCTCCGTCCCCAGGGTGACCTCGGGGAGCTACCCTTCCCTTGCAACGGCCTCAACAGCTTTCCCGACATCTGCTTCCGAGTGGACGGCTACAGCTTCCTGTGTCACAAGGTGCCAAGTTTTGTCCCCCCAAACCCCCACCCCTGCCTCGAGCCCTGGGCCAGCTCCTCGGGGCACCAGCCCAGCCTGAGCCCGGCCTCCCCTAGGCCTTCTTCTGCGGCCGCAGCGACTACTTCCGGGCCCTGCTGGAGGACCACTTCCAAGAGAGCCAGGAGCCGGAGGCCTCAGGCGGTCTCCCGGCCGTCACCCTGCAGGGCGTCTCAGCCGAAGTCTTCACCCACGTGCTGTACTACGTCTACAGCGACCACACGGAGGTGCAGGCGGGGTGGAGGGGAGGGGTACAGGCCTGTCGCCGCAGGGCTGAGCGGGAGCATCGGGGTGTGGACTGACTCCGTGGGGCTGGGAAGGGAGTGTGGGCCTGTTTGGACTTGGAGGGGCCTTGGTAGGTTCCAGAGCAGGAGTGTCATGACCATAGCATGTACTTGGGGACACGGTGTAGCCACCTGGGGTCCCCAAGTTCTCCAGCCAGAAGGTGGGTGGGGACAGTCACCCTGAATCCCAACAGTGGGGAGCTCCAGCCTCAGGCGGCCCAAGGCTGCCACCTCAGGGCAATGGGGCAGCAGGTGCACACTGCTGGCGTGCGGGTCACTGTGACAGACCCCAGGACACGGTGACTGAGGAACCCTGAGGTGAGTGCCCTGGGCAGGCAGCTTGCTGAGACCCAGGTTGTCCCGTCCGCCTTGTCATCCTGGCACCCCAGGGTGGGGTCAGCACACGCGCTCCCCTAGGGGCGGTGGCAGATACCACCAGCTGCCCAGGTCTGCTGTGCGGGGGCCGCCAGGCCCCCGGAGGAAGACGTGCAGCGGTTTCCTCTGAGCAGGGGCAGCTGCACACCTGCCTCTCCCGCCCGCGGGAGGCGGGCTGCGGGGCACGGGGGCCGAGCTGACCTGTGACTCAAGCCCCTTGCTCCATGGTCATCCCGATCGCCGCCTTCCTTGCAGCTGCTGCCGGAGGTGGCCTACGACGTGCTGGCTGTGGCCGACATGTACCTGTTGCCGGGCCTGAAGCAGCTATGTGGCCGCAGCCTGGCCCAGCTGCTGGATGAAGACAGCGTGGTGGGCGTGTGGCGCGTGGCCAAGCTGTTCCGCCTGGCGCGCCTGGAGGACCAGTGCACCGAGTACATGGCCAAGGTCATCGAGAAGGTGGGTGCGGACCCCCGGCGGTGGGGAGGAGGGGGCACAGGGGCGGGCATGCCCTGAACCAGCCTGTCCACAGCTGGTGGAGCAGGAGGACTTCGTGGAGGCTGTGAGGGAAGAGGCTGCAGCCGTGGCGGCCCGGCAGGAGACGGACTCCATCCCGCTGGTGGACGACATCCGCTTCCACGTGGGCAGCGCGGTGCAGACCCGCAGCGCCACGGAGCAGGCGCAGCAGCGGCTGCAGGCACTGGAGCATCTGCTGGTGGCCATCGGCCTGGACTGCTGACCTGCACGTGTGCTTGCCTGTGTACGGGGGTCACTGTGGGATGAGGCCCTCCCCCAGCACAAACCAGCCCTAAGGCCGTGGGGCTGGGCACCACTCAGGGAAACCTGGGGTGGGGGTCTCTAAGGGCCCCCCGCCCCTCCCCACCGTCCTGCAGTGGCTGGTCTCCCTGGCAGAGCTGGCTTCTCCTTGTGTAGAGCAGCCAGCAGGGAGCGTGAGAGTGTGTGGCAATAAAGCTTGAATTCACTGTGGGAGCCTGTGTCCCGGGCACAGGGACAGGGCCTGGGGAAGCTTGGGGGTTGGGGCCCGAGGATGGTCTCTGCGCCGTCAGTGCTGCTAGTGCTCCCTGGCTGTGGCGGCTGTGACCTCAGAGCTGCCTGCACGTCCTGACTGCAGGGCCGGTTGGGGGAGGCCCCGGCCAGCCCAGCAGCAGGGCGCCAAGTCCAGTGGGCCTCACCAGGCCTGGCTCCCTCCACTGGCCACTGCCTTCCCTCAGCCCAGGGCCCACCTCCCTCACGCCAGCCTCTAAACACCGTTGCGTGAAAAAAAAAATATATATCCCCATACCTTTTACTGGGAATAATCATATGCATTCTGTCCCAGCTCAACATCCCCACACTTTTCACGTTTGGAGAAACAGACCAGCCAACAAAACAACAGAAGCGAAACAGCTTGTAGGTAAACCAGTGTAGGGGCACCTTGTTGTCTCACCCCAAGGGAGACGGCATGACCGCGGGGCAGGTGACTGCTATGCTGAGTCCTGGGGGACTGGAGCCAAAGGCAGACCAGTAATCCTATTTGAAATGTCAGTGTTTGGTTCGTCACTAATTTTGATTTTAAAATAAAATATTACATTAAAATATTGCTTATTCTGAGTACTACGATTTTCTGGTGCTCCCTTAATTTTTGTGCCTGAGGTGAGCACCACACTCGGCTCACCCTAGTCCTAGCCCCAAAATACAAACTTTTACACCTGTCCTACAATATGCTTCCCACCTGCCCCCAAAAAAGGAATGGAGGCTTTGCAGATATTCTTTCCTCTACCTGGAAAACTCCTACACAGCCTTCAATGCCCCGTCTCACTACAACAGGAACTGAAACCCTAGAGGGTGGTTAGGATGCCATCACAAAGTTAGCGATGTTCTCCTAGAGCGGTCTACCCAAGTAATAGAAATAAAAGCAAAAATTAACAAATGGGACCTAATTAAACTTACAAACTTGCACAGCAAAGGAAACCATAAATATAATGACAACCTATGGAATGGGAGAAAATATTTGCAAATGATGCGACTGACAAAGGCTTAATTTCCAGAACATATAAACAGCTCATACAACTTAATAACAAAAAGCAATCCAATTCAAAAATGGGCAGACGACATAAACAAGCAATTCTCCAGCGGAGACACACAGATGGCCAATAGTCACATGAAAAAATACTCAGTATCATTATCAGAAAAATGCAAATCAAAACTACAATAAATTATCACCTCACACCAGTCAGAATGGCCATCATTCGAAAGTCCACACATGACAAATGCTGGGGAGGCTGTGGAGAAAAGGGGAATCCTCCCACACTGCTGGTGGGAATGCAGTTTGGGGGAGCCACTGTGGAAAACAGTATGGAGATTCCTCAAAAGACTAAAAATAGACTTGCCATACGACCCAGTAATCCCACTCCTGGGCATATATCCAGAGGGAACCTTAACTCAAAAAGACACCTGCACCCCGATGTTCACAGCAGCACTATACACAATAGCCAAGATACGGAAGCAGCCTAAATGTCCATAGACAGATGACTGGATAAAGAAGCTGTGGTACATTTATACAATGGAATACCACTCAGCCATAAAAGAGTAAAATAATCCCATTTTCAGCAACATGGACCTAGAGATCGTCATTCCAAGTGAAGTCAGCCAGAAAGAAAGAAAAATACCATACGATATCACTCATGTGGAATCTAAAGGAAAGGAAAAATGACACTATGAACTCATCTACAAAATAGAAAAGACTCACAGACATCGTAAACAATCTTAGGGTTACCGGGGGAAAGGGAGTGGAAAGGGATCAATTTGGGAGTTGGAGATTTGCAAATGTTAGCCACTATATATAAAAACATTTTAAAAATTTCTTCAGTACAGCACAGGGAACTATATTCAATATCTTGTATTAACTGTTAATGAAAAAGCATGAAAATGTACATACGTGCGTATCTCGTGACTGGGACACTGTGCTGCATGCCAGAGAGGGACACACTGTAACTGACTCTACTTCCATTGGACAAAACCCCACAAAGTTAGGAGTGGTCGCACAAGGTTTAGGGGCAGTGCCTTAGTCCCTGGAGCAGACGTCTTGAAAACAAAGATTTCTCACTTTGGGGAAAGTCTGAACCGCAGCTTCAGGCAGGGACTCCTGAAGCCCTGGAGCTGGGCAGCTCCCTCAGGTCTGAGAGGCCAGTTGGTTCCCTGCACCTGGGCCCGGGGACCCAGCCTGGTGCCACTCGAAGCCCTGGCGTCCTCATCCATCTAAACAGAGCAGCACCCCCGACGCGGGTGTGGCAATCCAATGGGGCACGAGGAGGCCACAGCAGGCGGGGCTCAGCCCACGGGAACCTCACCGTGACCTGGAAGATGTCACATGAGCGGTTCTGAGCACACGGCACGGCCCCTCCTTACCTGTGAGTCCTAAGACCAACTCCCTTATTCCTCAGGCCGCGGGGTGGTCGTCACCCAGCCTCCGCAGTAGCCACTGGTCAGTGCCCGTCCTGCAGCCTCGGCCCTGGGGGAGCCCTGCCTCGCCCCCAGCTCTCTCACTGCTGGCTCCCTCTGGGCGGGTACTGAGCCTGGGCCCCCCTCCTTGTGAGCCTCAGGCGCACACCTGCCTGAGCTCCCCCTTTACCGTGGGCGCCTGGCTCGTGCCCCAGCTCCCTTGTATTTAGCTGTGACTGACACACCAGGTCTAGGTGCCAGGAAAAACCGTAAATGAGGTCTCTGATTTAGTCCTTGAAAGGCGCACCCCGCCCCTCTCCTTTCCTCACTCCTGTGGGCTGGAATGAGGATGTGGTGGCAGGAGCAGCCACCTCGGTCCCCGGTCTGGAACCTCACACTCAAGACTGCAGGGCAGTGAGAGAGGCGGTGGGAGGAGAGGAAGGCGTGGCTGCTCCTCCCTGCCAGCCTCCACTTGGTCTCAGCTGTCTCCCGCCCCCACAACCCGGGGCAGCTGCCCTGCTCCAGAGCCCCTCCAGCCAAGGCCCGGGTCCCTGCACACACTATCCCAGGATGGCTGGCAGCTACTGGGGGTGCCCTCGGTTCCTCAAAGTCGCTTCCCCCCACGTCTTGCCCTGAGCCCTCTCAGACGTGCTCCCTCCTGTTCACCTGCCCTCTCCCCCGCTGGGCCCACCCTGCACTCCATGTCTTTCTTCTCATCCCACCGCTATCCGCCAGGATTCTGGGGACAGCCCCAAGGCCGCACGGCGCTTGGCACATGACATCTGCGGCCCATGATGCTCACAGGAGGCAGGAAGGACACTGCCCACAGTTCCCCCAACGGGGCTCAGGGTATGAGAGGCACACGCAGGCCCGGGTGCTGGGCCGTCCTTCAGGTCTTCACGCTGCCTGGGGCCTCTGCACAGGGGCCAGGCCAGCTGTGCCCATCCCACTGACACGTTCCAGAGTGAGTAGGCATTTCAGCAGAAGTCACCTCAGGAGAGCGGACGAGAAGGCGGA